CTTTCCATATCTAGGAAAACAAAATAAGTTGAAGAGTTTCTTGTAGCGATTCTTCTTTCCCATTGAAGAACTTGTCATTCCTTGCTTTTCATATTCGATTTATAAACAGTAGACACATGTATCCAATATTCCAATACATCATTCTTTGTTAAATGTTTCGGCACCAATTACTCAGAATTCTTCAATGTTTTATTCGCTAGTTAAACGTCAAATTTATAACACATACTGGTTTTGTAAGTACTTAATTAAGGAGAAAAACAAGAGTACAAATTGCATTTGACTCATTTATCAAATATTTCAAAATACGTTTTTCTTTTACTTTTCCTTACTGATATTTGAGATTACATCGCACTACTTAATAACGAGGAATCACAAACGAGCTTAGCACAATAGAAGGAAACTATACGTTGTTCCAAGGCTCTTTTTTGGAGGCTGGTTCGGGTTTTAATGTGTGAAGCATGTAACTACAAGCCTCCACGGCTTCTCCTACCGTTAGAAACATCCATTCTTTTCCCAAATTATCACCGATGAATTTGGATCTTGTTAATTTCTTCACGACCTCTCCTTTTGGATTTGCCAATACTAACTGAGGATTAGGAAAAAAGAATAATAATATCAAGAAACACGTAAACATAACTTTTTCTTTAAGAATAAGTATTATACTACGACCTTATTACGTTACCTTTAACTCTCTTCTGTCGATGATTTTCTTAATTTCTTCCATCATGCTGATACCACTCGTGTCGATATTACCAACAGCTGTTTTGATCAACACACAAACACAAATTTAAACCTCAAATGGATACAACACTCAAGTGAAAATCAAGATCATATAATTACCGGACATATCGAGTATAATATATTGTAAACTGCTTTCCCCTGATGCTTTGACTCTATCTTCCTCTTCATCGATCCATCTTGTGATTCTGTGTCCGATATATACAAATGAATTGAGAACATAATTTAAAATCAAGCCTCGGTCGTTGGTGTGTATAGATGGAAAAGTAAGCAAAAAGGAAAGATGAAGTGATGAAGCTCAAAACACACATATATATATATGAATTAGGGTTAAGGTTACCTCTCACGCAAGTAACCAGCGTTAGCAAAGTAGATGGGAGCATCAATCTCCAAGATTAGAAGACCAGGAACAGTTCTTGAGTAAGGATACTGTTCGGTGTTCCTATAGATCATGCTGTTTGGTATGTTTCCCTTCATCGCGGTTCTCGGCCTTGACACAAACAGCAACAACCTCGCTATCGATATCACCACCTTCATATATCACCGCAGAAAAAATGATTCAACTTCAAAATGTATTAAGAATTCTTATGAAGTACGTTTTCGTAAAATGTAAAAAAAAAGGCTAATATGACAAAAAAAACAAAACTAAAATTTATCGGTTCACTTGAAAAAGAATACAGATTAATCAAAAATAAACAAGCAAAGTTAGTAAAGTATAAACTTACTGCGATGACGAGTCCAATCTCGACACTGCCGAATACGACCCCAAAGTAGGCGCTCATGCATACTAGGAAGTCGAATTTATCGACTTTCCATAGATGAATGGCAGCTTGATAGTCAATGAGTCCGAGCATTGCGGCTATGATGATGGAAGAGAGAACTACGAGTGGTGTGAAATGGAAAAGCGGCATGAGGAAGAGCAAAGTGAACATAACCGCAATCGCCATCACTATGTTGGATACCGCGGTTTTGCAGCCCGCATTGAAATTCACGGCCGACCTCGAAAATGGTCCTAGTAATTGATATTATAAGGTTAGTTTTTTTCATGTTACATATAGTTAGTGTGATAATGTTGAAGCCATACGTGTATGTGTGTGTGTGTACGTACCGGTTGTGAGGTAACAAGATGTGAAGGAACCAACAATGTTCATGATTCCAAAAGCTATCATCTCTTTGTTTCCGTCTATGTTGTAGTTCTTGAACATTGCAAAGCTCCTCCCGACAGCTATTCCTTCCTGCATTTACACATGAAATTTATTTGATTATATATTGTTTTCATTGTCATTCAATGATTCAACTTCAAAACCACTAGCTTATTATATTATGAGTATATAGATTGCTGAGTTTGGTTAATTCCTTAGCTTTAACTTAGTTGGAGAAAAAACTATGTAAGCCTCGATTCTACTTCAAAAGTAATTTTTTGAGTTTGTGATTGCATGAAAAGAAAAACTCACTTTTTTGAACTATTAATTTTTTCATAACATTTATTTACAAATGCAGAGGCCAAAAGTTTTACAACTGACAAACAAAGTTTGATTATTTTGCTTATTTAAGGTAATAAGTTCATTTAAAAAAAAAACCCGAATATCAAAATATAGACGTAAATGCCAATGCAAATACAAACAAACAACCTAAACCTTTACTTTGTAAGTTATACTTATTCGTAAATAAAATATGTGCGTTAACGACTTATTGCTTTAAAAAACGAAAGAAAAAAAACAGTTGTGAGTTATGAGAAAGTCACATTTTACACAATACTTATTCATCTTTCTTCCTCTATCTCTCGGAGTATTACTCTCAAAGTTGAAATCTTAATGTCACTAGCTTTCAAATCTAAATTTAATTGGAAACATTGGTTATAAAGTATAATTCAATACTAGCAAACTCTATTTTGTATAGCAAGAAGAGAACAAGGTAACTTACAGCGAGAGCGATGATGCCAGTAATGAGGCCAGTCTTAAAAGCTGTCGACATGTAAGGCGACGTAAAGACGAGATCAGAAACTGACAGTGGATTCAACCCTTTCTTCAGATTCCCTATCTGCACAATCGTACACCTTACCTTATCGTATCATTCCTCTCAATTTCGGACAAAACTACAAAAAGCCCATGAGGCCCACTTCTTTTTTCACAATCATTTAAAAACTTCGAACTTCTTGCTTCTTGTTCCTTTTCTAAATCATAAATATTCTACTCAACTTTTCTTCCTTTTAAAAAAGAATGAATTTTTTTAAAGATTTAGTGAGATCCATACACAATATGTATTTAGTCACTAGGTTTACTATAAAA